GACTGGAATACTGTAATTGCCCTAAAATGGGAGTCAAATTCGGCAAAATTGCTGATGCGTAAATATCGCCGACACATCAAAATTCACGAGAGCATAATTTCGTAAATTTTCCATCAATTTTTGTACTTTTTGTTTTATTACCTTCAGAAAAAGATTCTTTACCATTTCATAAGAAAAAATAACAAAATTATTTTTGAAAATTCTTGGACCCTGGTGTACACTTGGCCTCTGGACCCTGAAAGGGTTAATGTCATATTGAAGGACTATCTTGTCGTATCTCCAAACAAACTGTACCACTGCCACATTTCCTAACATACGTAATGACGTATTTTAAATACGATTGGGCAGCTGGGAATTCGCAAATGTTTGAAGCCCGCGCAAGTGGAAAACGCAAATGCTGAGGGAGACCTGTATGGTTTAATTAGAATGACTCACGAAATCGTAATGATACGATTGCAAACAAACCATACCCCGGCCGGGATTGAACCCGCGGTCAGAGAGTCTCAAAACTCCAGACCGTCGCGTTACCCACTAGACCAGCTAGCCACAATAAGATTCGTCCAACTAGGTATATTTCTACACCATAGGAAGGTTAGCACAGGCACCACTGTGACCACAAATGCAAGTTTTATAGACGAATCTCCAGCTAGCGTGGCCGTGACGAACTCTAGCTCAAGTCCCCTCACTGCCGTCAACATGACTCACGAAATCGTAATGACACGATTGCAAACAAACCATATCCCGGCCGGGATTGAACCCATGGTCAGAGAGTCTCAAAACTCCACACCGTCGCGTTAGCCACTAGACCAGCTAGCCACAATAAGATTCGTCCAACTAGGTATATTTCTACACCATAGGAAGGTTAGCACAGGCACCACTGTGACCACAAATGCAAGTAGAAATATACCTAGTTGGACAAATCTTATTGTGGCTAGCTGGTCTAGTGGCTAACGCGACGGTCTGGAGTTTTGAGACTCTCTGACCGCGGGTTCAATCCCGGCCGGGGTATGGTTTGTTTGCAATCATGTCATTACAATTTTGTGAGTCATGTTGACGGAAGTGAGGGGACTTGAGCTAGAGTTCGTCACAGCCACGCTAGCTGGAGATTCGTCTGTAAAAACTTGCATTTGTGGTCACAGTGGTGCCTGTGCTAACCTTCCTATGGTGTAGAAATATACCTAGTTGGACGAATCTTATTGTGGCTAGCTGGTCTAGTGGCTAACGCGATGGTCTAGAGTTTTGAGACTCTCTGATCGTGGGTTCAATCCTGGCCGGGGTATGGTTTGGTTAATTAGAATTACATCAAATTTATAGGGCTGGTAAAACTAGGCTTCATGGGAGAGGTTTGTTAATAATTACCTTAGCTATTAAGCCCGAGGATTATTATACTCATTGAATATGAACCCATAAGGGTCATTCAAAATTGCACAACAGAGGTGATTGAGATGGTGAGGGGGAGAAGATGTGGAGATGTTGAGGGACGAAAAATGGCTTAAAGGATGGGGAAAGGTTTACAGGTGATGAAGAAAATCAGTATGTTAAAAAAAAAATCAGAGTGAGTCTGCAATAAAGGTGGGACCCTGCACAGAAAAGGGTGGGTAAATTAAGCACATCAGGGCATTGCCACCCAAAATAAAGTTGGTCTGCTCTCTGATGAGAGGGACAACTGATCAAGAGTAGGCTTCAGGAGACTTGTAAATTATACTCATGTATAATTTGCTTGAGGAAAAAGTTTGAGCTTCAGCATATATTAATGCAAATGCCAGCCACAGGATACAAAATGCTATTATAGTTAAGGCTGTGAAACAAAGATTTAAAATACTGAATGCAATTAATAACCTACCTGCACCTTACAGCAACTCTTCAAATGCATGATTTAATGACCATTTTTAGTGCTGTAATCAACTGAGAAAATGCATTGTAAAAAGGTACGAATAAACCTTTACTTTTCTCAGTTTGAATTCACTAATCTCACCTGATGGTCATATTCAATGCATGTACTGTACCTGTTGATGCTTCTGTTCTGCCCATGAACCCAGCCTTTTATGTAAGCAGCTAAAAGATTCCTTAAAAGCTTATGTTACAGACAATTGTATTTGTTGCACATTTCAAAGAGTCTAAGGATACAGACAGAGGAGGATATGCATGATTGAAAACACTGAGAAATATTACAAGTTACACAATTAAAGAAGCAATTCGCAAATTGTGCTTAAGTATGGAGTGAAATGAAGGTACCGTAGCTACTCTAGCTAGTGGTTGTAAAAAAAATATCTTACAGATAAGAAAGTAATGATGAATGATTGATGGGTGGTGGTGGTCATAATAAAGTGCCTTCAGAACATGAAAAAGGAATTTCAATACAGATCCAAGGAATGCTGGATAGAATATAAAATGTTGCAGATATAATAACTTGGTTGAATACTGATACTGGGGATCCAGGTTATGGAATGTCTACTGATGGCACATATTCTACAGGTGTGAAGACTGAGTGGCGATGGGTTATTATTGATGAAGTGGCTGAATTGTATGCTTAAAGTTTAACGACAAATAAATTAATTTCATTTCCTAGAGATAGCAATCTGTTGGCTCATAGTCATAAGTTAGAGGAGTCATATCTGTAAGATCCCTGACTTCATCCAAATCCCTGTTGTATTTTAGTGTTCCCAAGTAATTATTTTTTTATTAATACATTGGCCGTTTCCCACCATGGCAGGGTGGCCCGAAAAAGAAAAACTTTCATCATCACTCACTCCATCACTGTCTTGCCAGAGGCATGCTTACACTAGTTATAAAACTGTACAAGAATGGTGTACAATATCGACAAGATGAAATTAAGACACGTGCAACATCTGGGTATTTTTATTGTAGATGTTTCTCCATCCAGTGGGTTTATCAATACAAATTCCAGGACAAAATTTGAAGATAGTAGAACTATATACAGAAGATGAGGTAATCAGTCCCTCAGCCTTGGAGTTGGTGCGAAGAGCACCATAGTCGTGAAGATTCTGAAGCAGAGGCAAGGAGCATGGCGCTTACATACTAATGTCAGGTGGAAAGGGGACGTGTAGCCCTCGTCTGCTATATGTCCCCTTTCCACCTGACATTACTATGTAAGCGCCAGGCTCCATACTCTTCGCACCAACTCCAAGGCTGAGGGACTGATTACCTCATCTTCTGTATATAGTTCTACTGTCTTCAAATTATGTCCTGGAATTTGTATTGATAAAGCCACTGGATGGCGAAACGTCTACAATAAAGATACCCAGATGTTGCATGTGTCTTAATTTCATCATTCAGTTATAAAACTGCAACATTAACACCCCTTCTTCAGAAGGGAAAGAAACAATAGAGATTTGGATGAAGTCAAGGCTCTTACAGATACGACTCCTCTAACTTACGACTATAAGCTGACAGATTGCTATCTCTAGGAAATGAAATTAATATATTTGCCGTTAAACATTAAGCAGATAATTCAGCCACAACTTTGCCACTGGATGCCAAGTTAAATTTAAGTGTATGTACAGTACATTAACTTTTATATGGAAAGAAAAGCATTTGTATTTTCATTAAGCTGAAGACATTAGTTTTCATTTTCTTAATAAAGTACAGTATTAGGCATATATATATTTCAAACATATAAAATTAGTATACAAATGCTTTTTCAAAAATCTTTTCACCTCTGAAGCTAGGGTTATGAAACAGCATGTCTCACTGAGGTGAAGATCATAGTTTTTGTTCACATTTTTGGTGTTAGTTAATGATTTTTCTAGAGTATGCATTTTTTCTATCAGGAATTCTTCCACTAAATGCATTTATTTTAGTAAAGTACAGTACTGTATATACGTAGTTGTCAGGGAAATGTATGGTGGGCATGTATTTTTATGGTAGAAATTGACCAAGAAATATAGAATTTTTTAATCTGGTTTCAGGGGATTTGATACTATTTTCTTGGTGTTTTTGGGATGCTGTGTATTGATATTTGTAATCAAAATATTATAACCCAAACCCCATGTTGAACCCAACTATTTAATATAATAAAAAATGAAGGGATTCAGGAAAACTGGGTAACTGAAGTCGAATCATGGAGGTAGGAATTACAGTGCTCGCAGTCTGAAGGAGAGGTAAAGATATGTTGCAGTTTTTAACTGTAGTATCAGCAAGCCTCTAGCATGACAGTGATGGAATGAGTGGTGATGAAAGTGTTTCTTCTTTTTTGGGTCACCCTTCCTTGGTGGGAAATGAAAACAGAGTACTGGACAGTGATTTAGTACTATATCACTGCACTTTACAACAGCAATGGAAAATTACCACTTCATTGTACAATAGCAATGAGGCAGAAATTGGGACACGAACTATCAAGCACCTTAGAAAAGTTTTATGAAAACAAAACTAATTCAAGATGTGAAGAAATATTTTCAAGACAGGCACATTTATACTGCTTCTAACCTTGACCTGCAGGAGCAAGGCATAGACATGGAATGAGAAAGATGGATCTAGAATTACTGTACTGTGCAAGAAAGGAATGTGCAATGCATAACCAAATAAAAATAAGGAATTCAAAAAATGTGTGATGTGGAGGTCATTGTGTGGGTTACATTGTACCACCAGAAAATATCCAATAAAAAAAATGGGTTAAAGGAGTGAGATGCAGTTTACTCTTTTTAAAGTGCTTAAATACACTTGAAATATCTGGGGAATATGAGGTCACCCCCTTCAAGGGAATTCTTATAGAAAAAAAGGCATAATTTGCAACTGTGGCTAACTGTCTACATTACTACTTTTTCTGAGTGTAAGGGAACAATGTCTCTTGCAATATGAGATGTTAGATATGCATTAAATATTTAAGCAAAATGCAGGATAAATTTAGCCAATTTTTAATACAAGGGATTTGGATGCATAACAGAAAAAGAAGATATTGGAGTAAGTCAAAGCACATACACTGTACATATTGCAAAAGGAAAAGAAAAGACCATTAGCATAAAATAAGGGGGCATTTCTACCTGTGCCAAATCTGCAAAAGCATCCCCCAACTGTTGCTGTGTTTGCACAACATGATAGAAATGCGAGGACAAAGCTCTTGCCAATCGTAATATCTGGGAGTATTTGCGTTGAGTGTCTCGAAGAGATTCAATTTGTCCTTCTAACTCTGAAAATGAAAATTTAAGGAAATAAATTGCAACATCAATTTATGAATCTAGAAACATCTATCCAAATCAAGCTTTGAAAGCATATACATAAAATAATAACCAGCAATCCTCTACAATAATACAAAGGTAACTTAATTACAGCCTCTCTTCACTTAGCGACATACTTGTTACCGACGACTCGGACTTACGACGGGCTCTCTGACCAGTATGCATACCAAAATAATGTATATTAGAACTGATTTCCTCTACTCTGTTTATTACAATATACAGTACACTACTGTATAAATATTTAAAAATATACCAGAAATGTTATAAATGATGCAAAGGTAACATTAAAACAATATCAAGATTATTGACACAAACCCACTACCATTATAGTATGCTCCTCACTTGCCGACAAATTAGTTTACCGACAGGGTCTTAGGATCGGAACTCCGTCGTTAAGTGAGGAGAGGCTGTATTAGCAAGCCTATATGCATGTTAGAATTAAAAGCTAACTTACCAATTATGCTGGATCTCAAGAATTGTGAAGGTAACTGCAGTACTCACCTGAATCTACTGTTCGAGATGATTTTCCTAACTTCTCAGATAAAAGCTGCTTGGTACACTTGTATGTGGAAATGGACCAAGACTTGATCGATTCCATTTTACTAGAACTTGTACGAACTACAGCAGCCCCACCATTTTCAGTGCCAGGAGTTGTTGGAGTAGCTAATGGAATAGGCGACATGGCTGGAAACGGCGAGATATAACAGTCCCACTTATTGCCGTATTCTGAAACATTCCTTACATAGGGGTCTAGGGCTTAAAAGTTCTTTCAAGGGAGGTGGAAAAAATAGGCACTTTCATTCAACTATCAAACATTATAATAAGAAAACTACATTAGGTACAGTGTTCATTGTTTTAACCCTTAAACTGTCCACACAACCCAAACTGAAATCCTCTTGTGTCTACAAGTAAAATGGTAAGGAATCTTTTCTAAAAGTAATGACACTGAAACTGCAAAATTTTATGTAATAATTACTGAATTACCCAGGCACAAATTTGGAGGTCAGAGAGTACACTTCATGCACCAGCAATTATACCCTTCCATTTCACTAGTATGACTTCCATACCATCCACTGCTCACATGAAACTGCCCATTCAGCTTTCAGAACTATCCTATTAAGTCAAAAATTTTGCCAGTTTTATACTATTTTCAACAAATTCCAATTGAAAAACAGGGTCCAAAACAAACAGTGTAAGCATTCCAGCTACTAAAGCAGCCTTCCCCACTTAATTAATCATGTATCCTGGCCTCTCCTCTATAACACTTCCCCTCTATTCTGAATTCATTATCACGCAAAAATGCGAAGATTTTAGCTATTCTCAACTAATAAACCATTACCATGAATGCTTGATCATAAGTAAGGTTATCCCATTAACTTATGCAGATCTAGTAAAAATCCATAATACATACCAGAAGGTTGCAGAACCCTAACCCTTCCCAGAAAAAATTGTCCAAAACTGACTACTGCCACCAATTTGAGACTTTTGCAGGCCATGTCGTCTTAACCTGACCAAAATCTTTTCTGCATCACCAGTATATCTTCGTATATCTACTGGCACCAAGAAACAGCCAATAAAACTGCTAAAATCACCCTAAAAAATGCCACAGAATAACTTTTTTTTTAACCTGAACATAGGGTTAGGGGTTAACTATTCTCATCATGCAGCACTGCATGGGGCAGGATTTTTTTTTTTACTGATACTGCGAAAATCCACCATACCGACCCATTCTCTCATGTCCAGACCAAAATTTGTCACTCATAACAAATCTGAGGGTGCTAAGAATTGTATGTATTAGTACGTCATTATGATTCACTAGCACATCATGGACAGCTTAAGTGTTATCTCACAATGATTAGTAAACTGTTAATGGATCTGATATACGAATGTTTACTCTATATACTGTACCTAACAGAAAGGACAATTATATTCATTTTAAGCTTTTTTTATTTTCTAGCATTCATAGTAATAAGTAATAGTAATAGTACTATAATTTGATTATTTTTTATTATTATGGTATATACTAAATCAGAAGCATTAAACCCATGGGTCATACAACAATATGTAATATGATTAACAACTCACTTTAGCTTATAACATATAAGTCTGTTTTGAATAACTCACCAGGACTGCTTGCACTATTGGGTGAATTGTAGGCTGACCCTGGGTTGTGAGGGTACTGTGGGAGGGATGTTGGTCGAGCCTGAGGTGGGGGAATGATCTGCGTGGGGGACGTGACCTGATTCTGTAATCCAGAATTTGGTATGGCATTGGATACAGGAATGCCTGCTAGAGGCTGAGTCTCCCCACAGTGTGTTCCATCATTCAGGGCAACTGTCTGCATTCCTCCCTCGCTAAGATCTCCATCCATGTTCACTACTAGTTCTGCAATAGTCAAAAAAAGTCTTTTGCCAAGATGTACACACTGGAACCCTTTAAAATGTATATACAGTATGTCTGTGTTAGCTATAAGATTTAACCAGAGGTACCAATGTCCTTCTGCATGGTCAAATAATCCTCCACAGCACAAAAGTAGGGTTAGGAATATAAATACTTGGAGGTACAAACTGAAGCAACAGCTATTCAGATAAGTCTTCTGTGAAGTTCTGAAGGGCAAATCTTTTCTTAAACTGTCGGTTTTCACAAAGCTTGAAAACATTTAGTATATTTCCTCCAATTGAAAATGTGTAATTAAGTTTACATTATAGTCAGTATTATACAGTGGAACCTCGGTTTTCATTTGCCCTGGTTTTCGTCAAATTCGGTTTTCGACGACTTTTTTTTTTGTCAAAATATTGTCCCAGTTTTCGTTTATCACCTTGGTTTTCGCCTGCCATACCGAACATGTCCAGCTGCCTGTGCCCACACAAAGCATCCCACACACGCATTCTGAGCAAGTCTGGCTTTGTTTCTCGTCGAGTGAACATTACCCTGCGCATTCATACGAAACATTTTGTAATAATTCATTGTTTTTTGTGCTTGTTTATTGAGTGCGACTGCTAAATAAGCCATCATGGGGCCAAAGAAAGTTCCGAGTGCCAGCGCTTTGATATTATTATTATTATTATTATTATAATAAAAATGAAGCACTAAACCACAAGGGCTATAGCACTTTGATTAAGGGGAGAAACACAACAGAATTCAATATTGGTAGAGGGTGGTAGTAATGGTGGTAGCGATAATCTCTCCTCCCTCTCCCCTCCTCGCCATCTTCCATACGCCAACAAGAGTCTTCAATAAAAGTAAAAGTGATTTTAATGTTCATTTACCCATTTCATTAGTGCTTTATATTTATTTCTCATTGTTTTCTGTATGAAAAACTATATTCTCTATAAAATGTACTTTTTGTTAATATTTTTGGGTGTCTGGAATGGATTAATTGGATTTACATTATTTCTTACGGGAAATATTGCTTCAGTTTTCATTGAATTTGGCTTTCGTCAGACTCTGGAACAAATTAAAACAAAAACCGAGGTTCCACCGTACAATTATCACTCCCATTACCAAAAGTTATTAGCCACCCAGATAACTTAATAAAGTCAATGCATCATCAGGGACTGTCTGTCTTATTTCCATTGGGGTCCTCGAATCTTGTCCTTCAGGATGCAACCTGCAACAATCGGCTAACACCCAGGTACCAACTTACTGCCAAGTGAATAGGTACAGCAGGTATACAAGGAAACATGCCTAACATTTCCACCCATGCTGAGTGAATAAGGGCACTCAGTATGCATACTGAGGTGAGTGCACTGCCAAGCCACCTGAGCATTCTGATCAAGGAAACCTCATCTAGCCAAGAGAAATCTTGGAGAAAATATTGGTTCCTACTATATATTGAAATAAAATATGTTAAACATTTGAAAGAAATTTCACATGAAAACTTGAAATGAAGTGGTGCCTACATGAAACTTTCCATACACTAATAAATTTTGATTTCCTATATTATCTGGCCTTATGAATTACAGAATATATAATTATTTGAGAATAATGACAATTTCCTTATTAAAAAGTACTGTACTAATATGGGATGGGTCAAGTGCATTGTTGAGAGCACAGCTTCCCTTCCCCACTGCTACCTGTGTCATCTACACTTGCTGCCTTGAAACATCTTATGCCTCACTCAGTGTTTATCAAGTAATTTTAGATACTTTATCACCCTATCTCATCTCTGGCTACTGAACATGGCATCCAAGAGGAACAGTGACACTGGAGGTGCCAAGAAGAATAAGTTAATCTATAAAGGTACTGAAGAAATGGGAAGTTTTAGATATAGTAGTTACAAGTGGTGCTTGTGTGAAGGAGACTACTCATGCTTTTTTGTGTCAATGAATCAATCTTTCATACAAAAAGAAACAATGAGAGGAAAATAAAAGCTGGTGCAAGAACTAATGCAGACTGTGAGCAGCTCATCTTGCTATCTTACAATCTCTGGACCCAAATATGAAAATTGTGCTTTTACTACCAAATACTACATTGATACAGCCACTGGATTCAGGAGTTTTCAAGATTTTGAAGTGCCACTATACATGGACAAAGCTTTGAGATTGGCATGCCAGAGATCTGGCATAAATATTACATTGCAGAAGCACTTTTGTAGATAAAGGTGTCATGGGATGAAGGTCCCAAATCAGTCATAAATTCAGGTTGAAATCACCTGGAGCCTTCTCTGGTGAATAATAATTTCTCAGGCTTTTCCTCAGCAACAAATCAGGTCCAGAAAATTGTGGCTCTGGCAAGAACTGAGAGAGCTGCAGGCTTGGAAGACATGCATGAAGAAGACAAAAATGAAGTGTTAGAAGAGGATGATGAAGAACCAACCTCTGATGGATTGCTGGAGGAGCTCAATTCCTAGTTAAGAGAGGCACATAAATATAAAAAGAGAATCAGGAAGAACAACTTGAAGCTAAACTGTTAATATTGAGGAGTTATATGAGAAGTTCCACATAACTGATAAAGTTGTATATTTTTTTTTCCCCTGAAAATTATCCTGACAATTCTAGAAGTAATGTTGTGAGTTGAGGTCTGGAGCAGCTGATGCAAGATAAAACAGGCCAAAGTGGCATAAAAGAACACAAACACTCCAACACAACCATCAATTATTGACAACTCTACATCCATATGAGTACAAAAACCACTTATAAATCTCAGCTCAGTAAACCCATATTAACCCTCTCCAAACACTTCAATCTTAAGAACTACCAAAATGTAAAGCCAGTTATATAGTAGTAATTTTACCTAGTACAATAGTAAACAAAATTTTGGTTGGTAACTGTGGAGGTGTCTGCAATGTAACTCTAGATTTCCCATATGTTCTTCACTTTATGTAATACTATCTTCACACTACACACTAATTTTCAGGCATGTAACCCCCATTATATTAAGGTACTGTACTTCATCTATGCATGTATTTACAGAGTTATATTTGTAGGGGTTAAATCTCAACTAACTGACAGTACTGATTCCTGGCCTTTTAGTTCCTGTCATATCCACTTTTAAAACTATGCATTCACTTTTCTTTCGCCACTTCCTCATCCAATTCTCTCAACTTGTTTTCTTTCTTTCAACACACCGGCCGTATCCCACCGAGGCAGGGTGGCCCAAAAGGAAAAACGAAAGTTTCTCCTTTTACATTTAGTAATATATACAGGAGAAGGGGTTACTAGCTCCTTGCTCCCGGCATTTTAGTCGCCTCTTACAACACGCATGGCTTACGGAGGAAGAATTCTGTTCCACTTCCCCAAAATAAAGTACATATTATTCCTAACATCCCTATAGCTCAACTATGTCCTTAGCTTTAACCCTTTCAGGGTCCGTGCCGTAGACCTACGGCTTTACGTTGAGGGTCCAAACTGTAAATCTACGCCATGAGCTCAGCTCACTCTGATAAGCTGTGAGTTGTAAATCTGGACCTAGATATGAGAGAATACATCTATGTGGTATGTGTGCACCACATAAAACAAAACCTGCAGCACAGTGCATAATGAGAAAAAACTGAGACTAATTTTCGATTAAAACAGCGACTGCAGTGTTTTTTCGTATGTTTTTTATACTTGTATTTGCGATTTCTTGGTCTCAGAGATGATTTTGATTGGTTTTAGTACTGGAAATGGCTTGAAACTGAGCTCAAATAGCGGAAATGTTAAATTTTTGCCGATGTTCAAGAGTAAACAAATGACCTCGCACGTCTAATACACGCCACCTGGTGGGTCTAATATACGTTCACAAATGTGGTGATATTATTTATACAATTATTACAATATTGCATAACAGTAAATCTTCTATTTTTGGATTTGAATAAAAATTTATTATGTGAATAAAAATCAAAATGAAATTCACTTGTAAAGCCTGAAAACGTAACTAATGAACAGAGGAAATGTTACTTTAGTGCCAGGAATGCCTGCATTGTTTATTCTGGACCCTATTTTGAAATTGAAATATTTTGAACTTTGCATTAAACTGGCCAAATTACCAATTTCCAATCACTTTATTTTGTAGTTGAAACAGTTGACTTGGCGATTTCTCATGCTCAATCGATAGAATAGAAGTAATACTAGTGAAATAGCTAAGAATTTGGTCGACTGGAATAATGTAACTGGCCTAAAATGGAAGTTAAAGTCGGCAAAATCGCCGATGCATAAATATCGCTGACACATCAAAATTCGTGAGAGCATAATTTCGTCAATTTTCCATCAAATTTCGTACTTTTTGTTTTATTACCTTCAGAAAAAGATTCTCTACCATTTCATAAGAAAAAATAAGAAAATTATTTTTTTTTAAATTCTTGGACACTGGTGCACACTTTTGAAATTTGGCATCTGGACCCTGAAAGGGTTAATCTATACCACCTTGTACAGTACCTGTGCCTCACATTTCAAAGTGTCTGTTCCTATCTGCCCTGTCAAATCCTTCGTGTATATTGTAATCATGGCTTCCTTATTTATTACCACTATTATTGTTATTATTATTATTACAACATTCATGGGGAAGCACTAAACCTATAGGAGTCATACAGTACCTGGAAGAATGAGAGGCAATCAGGTTTGATCCAAGGAAGGAAAGATCAGTCATCCCTAATCCTCTTTTCTAGAATTATTTCAGTTCCTTTAATTTCTCCTCATAGCTTAATCCCCACAGCATTGGTAATAGTTAAATTTGACTGCCAACTCCTCCTCTATGAAAATCTTGGCAGATTTGATGTGTTAACATTTCTTGAGAATAAATTTATCAGTTTTTCAATGAATAGTGTACTGCACTTGCTAATTAAAGGAGAAAACAGAAATAATGCAGCAGTGTATCCATGGTATGACATCCCCCATCAGAAACATGAAGTCTATGGTTTGTCATGTTCCCATAACCTAGGGCTGGCTTTTTCTGCTCATGCAACCACTTACTAACCAAACCTACCAGTACTTAACCTGTATGACAGACACACAATTAACAAAGAGACCAAAATGATGACCAGGATAGTGCATCATGTTGTGATGAGAACAAATATGGAAACAGTTCAGTAATAATGCATTTATGTTCTACCTAACTTAATTAACCAACTTTAAAAAAATTAATACTCTGAAAAGAAATCAGACAATGCTTAAATCGCAGTACTACATTAACTATGTCATATTATAATTAATGTTCATTATTACAGTCATAGAAGCACCTAGGGTATGGATGAGCATGGTAGTTCCAATTCCTTGGATCAAGAGTCCTTCACCAGCATTGAAGGGATATATTCAAAAGGAAGCACTAAACCTATAGAAGTCATATAGGGACAGTGGAATGAGAAGTAATCAGGCTTGATTTGAGGAAAGGGAAGAGCAGCTTATTCCTTGGATCAAAAGCCCTTTACCAGCCTCAAGGCATCTTTCATGGTGATTATTATTATAATCATGGGGGAGCACTAAACCTGTAGGGTTATACAGCACATGTGGGGGGATGGAAAGTATTCAGGCTCAATTCAGGGAACCAGAGCACTGACCCAATTCCGTATATCAAGAGCCCCTCACCAACATCAAGGAACTTCCCTTGAGGGGACCTTCAAACCATTACTAATATCAAGTGACATTTTCTTGATACCATTACTGTTCATATTATTTTTTTGGTCTTGATACTATTACTTCTTGCTCTTAATGGTCTTAATACCATTACTGTAAATGTTGTCTTAATGATCTTGACATCAATACTTCATGGTTATCTTAATGTCTTGATATCGTTAATGTTCATGTTATCTTAATAGTCTTGATACCATTACTGTTCATGTTATCTTTATGGTCTTGACACCATTCATGGTTATCTTAGTGGTCTTGATACCATTACTGTAAATGTTATCTCAATGGTTTTCGTATCTTGATAAAGGGCGTATCACAGCAAATTAAATAATGGCTCGCCTTATATTCCCTCACACCCCAACTACAAATACTTGCAAGCCTCGGCTGCAGGTAGACTGTGAGACGCCACTCAGCACAGAAACACCTTATTAATCATCAAATCCAACAGGTAAAGTAGGAAAAGTTTGAGGCAGTTGAAGGCAGTTCCAGTCCCTCCCACATGTCGCCTCGTTACCGCCACATTAACACACTAACCAGGCCAGGTGGCGGCTGGTAATAACTCTGGAGAACATCTAACTCACAGCCACTCTAGTGGAAGTGTATTATCTACCTACCGGGGGCTGTGGTTCATAAAATTAGAATATTTTGGTAGCTGTCAAATATCATCAAAACACAGAGGCTGTCTGCTGGTGACGTCACATGCCGCGTATACCACTATGCTGCCAATCCTCTCATTTTATATAATTTTTTCCAGTTCTCGCAGTCACTCTACTCTTGTTTCTCTCACACTTCTTCAATATCATTTAACCGTGGATTCATTTTCACTTAGTGTGATGCTGAACTAAGTGTTAATGTAGCAGTATAAATGCCAAATAGTTCCCCAGAAAAGTGGTGCCACGTGCAGTGCTACAACACACTCATCCACAATTATATTTATTCAGACTATTTTATTGTTTTTTAGTAAAATATATTTTAAGGAGTAATAAATTAATTTATTTATTTTAATTCCTGAACAGACTACATTTGTGATTTACGTATCACTGTCCCCAATCTCTTTGAAATACGATGAAGTATAGTTTTTATGAGTTATCGTAATTTATATACACATATACATAAGAATTTGTATGTGTTTATAATAATCATTACTGGGGTCAGTTACCGGTCTGAGGTGGTCCATAATTTGTTCCTTAATATAATGTATAATATTAGATGGGTTTATTTTGGGTAATGGTAAGAAACGTAACCTAAGCTAAGAAGGAAACTCAATGTAAAATAACCCAAGTTAGCCTTACTCCACTAGAGGTAGATATGGGAATGGTGCGCGTCTTTGTTTACATTCAATGGCATCAAATGTAAAAAATGTAAACAAAACAATGTAAATAAGTGTCAACAAAAATGTAACGAAAACTAAATGAGCCCGTGTAAATGTGTAAACAAAACATAGCAAACAAACCAGCATAAAGAAAGGTACAAGAGGATACAAACGTAATCCCACAAATCAATAGTTATACTGGTCAAGACGAAAATAAATCATGCAATATCAGAGTAACTAGCGACATGGTCCTCAGACAACTAGATAGACTGAAGCCTAACACGTCACAGGTTCCTAATGAACCGCTTTCAGAGGTTAATAAGTTTTAGGTACATACCGGTACACATCAGTACAAGCATCATACCTAGTAACATGTGTGTAAATAAATGAAAGAAGCCTGAGCTTGCTATCATCTGCAGCTCATAAGACTGCCATCCCCACGAGCCACTTTGAGGCGGGGTAGATGGCAGACCAGAGGCCTAGCTTCTCCCTACGAGCCCCGTGAGGGCGGGGAATGTGGCTAGGCCTGGGGACACTTGGTCCCAAAGATGAGGAGGTACTGTGCCTCCTCCCATGGGAGACTTAAGTCTCGAGACACTCCCCAGATAGGGAGCCAAGGCCGGGTCACCACTACATGGAAAAGACCCGGGCCGGGAGAATACCGGCGAATAAAAAAAAAAAAATAAATAAATGAAGCTACATATAGGGAGGAAAGTGATTTCTTATATAGCTAACATTCGTGTACCTATTATTGTAAGCTGATCCTCTCTTTTATGTTAATGTAAATAATTTAGGTTACTTTATTTCTATTTTAGCTGACTTTATTGTAAGTGAGTTTCACACAGTTGAGTTACATAGTTGTTTTAACTTTTAAAGATTAAATAATAAGATATTACGAGGACCGAAATGGAAATAAGTTACTTTGACTTTTTTGGGTTATCCTAGACAATTTGCACTATGTATGATAATTGTACTTATGTGTACCTGTACTTATGTGGCTTATTTCCATTGGGGAGGAACTTAGCAAACTCTCAGCTAATTCATTCAACATATCACTACAAACAGGTATTGTACCGGATAAATAGAAAGTGACAAATGGAATGCCTATTTGCAAGGCGGGAGATAGGTCCATAACTTTAAATTATCGACCAATCAGCCTTACCTCAATTGTGGGAAAGCTAAAAAGTGTCTGATGAATGAAGCAACAGATAGGGAGGGGAATGATTTTCTATTTTTTAGCTTAACTACGTGTAAATTTTACCTTATCCCTAGTAATGACCCTCGTATTGTAGATAGTCGTAATGACCCTCGGGTAGTAGATAGTCTTAATGACCCTCGTATTGTAGATAGTCTTAATGACCCTCGTGTAGTAGATAGTATTTTTAGTATGATAATAAGATGTTATCTTCATTATAGAATAATAAGAAAATATTATAACCTTTATATTATAATAATAAGGTAAAAGGACCCCAATGGAAATAAGTCACTCTGTCTGACTTTTTTGGGTTATCCTAGGTTCTCTACACATATGCTGCTATGTATGATAATTCTATGTAACTGTATTGTGTATACCTGAATAAATTTACTTACTTACTTACTTACTGGAATTGATAACTGCTGATGCAATTCGAAGCCACCTTGAAAGAGATCTCAGCACGGTTTTACGAAGAAACGTTCTTACCCTACAAATTTACTAACCGTTTTTACTAAGGTGTTCGAGGCAGTGGACCATGATAAAGAATGCAGTATTGTATATATGGGCTTCGGTACGGCTTTGATAAAGTTCTACACCAGAGACTGATTAAGAAAGTAGCGACTCAGAGGAGAAATTATCTTTTTGTCGAGGCATGGCTGACCGATAGGCTATAGGCTATGTACAAAGTATACAGCTAGGCCTCCCAGCATACATAAGGGGGATTACCAACAGACCCCTGGCAGTCTTCAAGCTGGCACTGGACAAGCACCTAAAGTCGGTTCCTGACCAGCCGGGCTGTGGCTCGTATGTTGGTTTGCGTGCAGCCAGCAGCAACAGCCTGGTTGATCATGCTCTGATCCACCAGGAGGCCTGGTCACAGACCGGGCCGCGGGGGCGTTGACCCCCGGAACTCTCTCCAGGTAAACTCCAGGGGAAAAAATCAGGATGGGATCTGTTAGGAGTGGTGTTCCACAGGGGTCGATGTTAGGACCCTTGTTGTTCACAATCTACATACACGACATGGATGAGGGAATAATAGCGACATAAGTAGGTTTGCCGATGACATTAAAATAGGCCGTCACATAATTTTTCCATGTGTACACTGGGGGGCTGCAGGATGACCTGTATAGTTTGATGTGGAAGGTTCGTGACCTGGTAGGCAAAGCTTTCGTTTCACGCGCTGAGAGTCCATGGTTCAATTCCCGGTAAGGGTGGAAACATTGGGTGTTTCCTTACACCTGTTGTCCTTATTCACCTGCAGATTAGGGACCAATCCCTCTAGGATTTTCCAGATGTAGATTATGATGTATCTCGCGCCTACGCTCCAGTGAGTACAAGTCAAGTGCTTCCAATCGTTCCCAGTAGTTAAGGTGTCACGTAGCTCGATCGCTAGTGCACTCAGCTCACACACTGAGGTTCCGGGTTCAAATCTCCTCCGGTACGGCTGGAAAATATTAGGGACGTGTTTCCATAAGACACCTGCTGTCCCCGTCCCTGTTCACCCATCAGTATAAAGTGGGTACCTGGGTGTTAGTCGACTGGTGTAGATCGCATTCTGGGACAAAACTGACCTAATTTGCCCGAAATGCTCAGCATAACAAACGGCTTTCTATATTTCTATATAATAAAGGACCCCAATGGAAATAAGTCACTCTGACTTTTTTGGGTTATCCTAGGTTCTCTACACATATGCTGTTATGTACAATAATTCTATGTAACTGTATTTGTGTATACCTGAATAAACTTACTTACTTATAGTAGTACGTATGTTACTGATGTCATCTAGGCCTGTGTATTATGTGCATGTACTTGTACATGTACATGTACATGTACATGTACTTGTACATGTACATGTACTTGTACATGTACATGTACTTGTACATGTACATGTACATGTACATGTACTTGTACATGTACATGTACTTGTACATGGTACACATCTGCAATTTCACCTGCCTGGAATGGAGATGTTAATGTACAGCTACGTTTGTATACCTTGTACGTGTACTTGTAGAAACAGATATTATTATTATTATTATTATTATTTATTATTATTATTATTATTATTATTATTATTATTATTATTATTATTATTATTATATGGACATGGTGAAAGCCTGTTGTTGTTGCCTCAGGTGTATGTGTGTCGAGGGAAAGGGTGTGAGGCTTGCTCTGCCGGGTTTAGCAAGGGAGGTCCACCTCACTTAATTCAAATTTTTGTTTCTTTACGTGATAAATTACCTACGGTAACCCAAAAAGTCAGACAAAGTGGCTTATTTTCATTGTAATACATAAGGGGGATTACCAATAGACCCCTGGTTGTCTTCAAGCAGGCACTAGACAAGCACCTAAAATCGGTACCTGACCAGCCGGGCTGTGGCTCGTACGGGGGATTGCGTGCAGCCAGCAGTAACAGCCTGGTTGATCAGGCTCTGAACCACCATGAGGCCTGGTCACAGACCGGCCCGCGGGGGCGTTGACCCCTGGAGCTCTCTCCAGGTATTTAAATTTAAAGCCAAGCAGTAAGTTACACTACAAATCAGTTATGATTATAACCTTAAAAGTTAAACAGCTAAATAACTTAACTGTGTTAAAATAAATGGAGACACAATATGAATAAAGTAAACTGAGTTATTATATTAACATTACAGAGAGGATCAGCTTATAATAAAGGTTCACGAATGTTAGCTGTACAAGAAATCACTTGCCTTCCTTTGTGTAGCTTCATTAGTATTATTATTATTAGGTACCTTTTAGCTCTCTTCCTGAACTTGCTCATGCTAGGACAGGCTTTGACATGTGCAGGCAATCTTTTCCACTCTTTTATTGCTGTACAATAAAGGGTGTTTGAGGCCTGACCACCTACTGTAGATACTCCAAAATTGTGTTCACTTCGTCTAGTACCATAATTGTTTTGGCTGCTAACCTTGATAAACTTGGCAGCAAGATATTCTGGACACTGCTTATGAGCAATTTTATAAATGTGATTTAGCTTATTAGTAGCCATCCACGTAAATATTTTTAGGAGCTCATCTTTGGCAATTACACCATGGTCCCACTGTGTGACCTTGGTGTAATAGCGCACAAAATGCGTGATAAAGGAATAATACGAACAGTCGGTAGATGGATCTATAATTTCCTAACAAACAGAATACAATGAGTAGTACATGTACTAAACACAGTAAAGTCTGAGGCGGCTATGGTGAAAAGCTCTGCTCCACAAGGTGCAGTACTCGCTCCCATCCTGTTCCTCATCCTCATA